TTGCAATTGATTTGTCTTATCACCTTAGGGTCACTTTGCTTGAAGCAAAGCTAAAATGGGTGTGGGGCAGAGACTGCTACCAGTGTGGTCATTATTTAAGCATTTTATTTATTTTAAATATTCATTTCAATGAGAGGATGAGAGGTGTTTGTGTACAAAGCTAGCTTAAGTACATCATCAGGATGTTAAGTGATCATCAGGAGTTTTTTTTTGTTTGTTTGGTTTTTTGTTTTTTGTTTTTGTTTTTGTTTTTGTTTTTGAGGCAATTTTACTCTGCTGCCCAGGCTGGAGTGCAGTGGCACAGTCTCAGCTCACTGCGACCTCCACCTCCCAGGTTCAAGCGATTCTTGTGCCTTAACCTCCTGAGAAGCTGGAATTACAGGCATGTACCACCATGCCCAGTTAATTTTTGTATTTTTAGTAGAGACAGGATTTCGCCATGTTGACCAGGCTGGTCTTGAACTCCTGTACTCAAGTGATCCACCTGCCTCAGCCTCCGTAAGTGCTGGGATTACAGGCGTGAGCCACCATGCCCAACCTGTATCATCAGGAGTTCTATCAAAGAGGCAAGCCAAACCAACCCAGAAAGGCTTCCATTCTGCTACAAACACGTGTAACAATGCAGGAGGGAAAAAGTGTTATGTCAACAGCAACTACAACAACAACAAAAAACCCAGCTCAAAAGAATGAAAGGGAAATCCCCAGGTGCTAGACAAGAAAAGGAGCTGGAAGTCAGAGTGGGAAATCTTAGCTGAAAACAGTGGATCCACAGGCCTACTGGGTAGGCGTTTAAGAGCTGTGGAGTGACACTTTCAAGCCCTGAGAATGGCAGTATGGCAAGGGTGGAGCCCCTCACATAAAGTCAGACTCCTTAAAAAGGCTATGAAGCAGGGATTAGAAAAAATTTCACTCACTGAAAGAAGCAAGAATGCATATAGTGTGTTTGAAATCCCATAAAATAATTAGAAGAAAACGAATAATCGAGAACTGGCAACCTCAGCTTACACCTTGTAAGTATATCTAACTATGAAGAGTGAATTTACACTGCTTCCAGTGAGGCAGGAACTATTTTTCCCATGCTAAGAAATTAATGTTAAGAATTGTGCTGATATCAAATCAAATTTAAAAAATTAAGTCCAACTACATGTTGTGATTAATAAAACTACACATAAAACTAATAACTACACAGAAGTTTTCAAAATAAAAGGATAAGGCAAAAACACATGTTTGATTGAACATTGCTGATAGTCCATTGTTTTACCTACAAAAATGGCAATTTCATATTACCCAACGAATAATGAACAAAAGAGCACTAGTGGAACTGTTAGCGGTGGCAGGTATCCAAGTTACCTGTGGCGAATCTGTACAGGTCTGTAGCAGCCTCTATTCTTGCCACCTCAGAAGAAAGAATTCTACTGAGGGTCATATGATAGAAAAAGAGACGGAGGCAAGTTTCAGAGCAGGAGTAGATGTTTATTAAAAAGCTTTAGGCCAGGCGTGGTGGCTCAAGCTTGTAATCCCAGCACTTTGGGAGGCCGAGACGGGCGGATCACGAGGTCAGGAGATCGAGACCATCCTGGCTAACACGGTGAAACCCCGTCTCTACTAAAAAATACAAAAAACTAGCGGGGCGCGGTGGCGGGCGCCTGTAGTCCCAGCTACTCGGGAGGCTGAGGCAGGAGAATGGCGTGAACCCGGGAGGTGGAGCTTGCAGTGAGCCGAGATCACGCCACTGCACTCCAGCCTGGGCAACAGAGTGAGACTCCATCTCAAAAAAAAAAAAAAAAAAAAAAGCTTTAAAGCAGGAATAAAAGAAAGGAATATATACTTGGAAGAGGCCCAGGCTGGCACCTTGAGGTCAAGGCCCCATATAACCTTGAACCTAGCATTTTACATGCTGACTTACTTCCACCGTCTTGCACCCCTTTCCCTTCATTCTTCCCTTATGCATGGTGCCCTGCCTACGCTTGGGAGGTGAGCATGCACAGTATGTTTACTAGAGTTGTACACATATTTACCTGAGGCTTTTTCTTCCCTTTTCTGGTGGAATGCCCCCAGAAGGTCATACTCCTTCATTTTTGTCTCTTAATGCGCATGCTCGAGCCCACTTGCCCAGTTCCTGAAATCTTATTGGAAGCTGCTGATTATCAATTTCAGGTATTTTTACCTATTCAGAAACTGCCTCTCCCTGGCACTGGCTGTGACCAATTATCATTTTAGAAAGACAGTGTGACAGCTGCCGGACCATCATTTGATGGTTGCCTGATGTTCCTTTGTGAGTAGGGGAGTCCTCTCCTGCTCCACTCATGCCTGGCTAGCTACCTACTGTAATAGAACCATTATAATTTCAGACTCTTGAGGCAAAAGCACTTCTGGCGATAAAGGGAAACTCAAGAACAATAAACTAAAAAGATAAAGTAATGATCTTGAAAGCATTTACTGATGTCTCTCTCTCTATATATATATAGCAAAAACTGTATTACAAGGAGAAATTGACAAACCTACCCTAGAGAAAACCTGGTGTATGTCCACAGAGACATGTACAGCTGCTCATTTCAGCATTGTTTATAATAGCAATTATTGACAAATTAATACTTGTATAATCTTAAGTACTTCTATCAGAAGTTATTAGACAAAAATATAAGGTGGAGAAGAGTTGAACAAGCAAACAGATATAGAACCCTTTTCAACAAATAGCAGTATATGTTTGTGTTGTTTAACAACAGGGATACCCTGTGAGAAGTGTGTCATTAGGTAATTTCATCTTTGTGTGGACATTAATATAGATTACAGTTTCACAAACTTGGATGTATAGTCTACTACACATCTAGGCTGCGTGGTATAGCCTGTTGTTGCTAGGCTGTGAACCTCTACAGCGTGTTACTGTACTGAATAGTGTAGGCAGTTGTAACACAGTGGTAAGTATTTGTGTGTCTAAACATATCTAAACATTGACAAGGAACAGTATTATAATCTTAGGGGACCTGTGTTGTCTATGTGGTCCATCATTGATGTAAACACCATTATGCGGTATGTGACTGTTGTTTTTGAAATACTTAACAAATCTTTCCTAAATTTACTACATCCTAGGCCATGAAAGAAGTCTCATCAAATACCAAAGAACTAATAACATACAGATCCCATTCTCTGATAACAGTGTAGTAAATTTAGAGATTGACAATAAACACAAAGCCTGAAAACTCCTTATGTTTGGAAGCTAACAAGAGTGCTTCTGAATGATTCATTTGTTCGGAAATCACAGTGAGGAAAACTTGTTCCAATAATATGGCAGACTAGACTAAGAAACAACTAAGAAACTTGTATAAAATGTGCAATACATATTTTAGGTACATTAATATACTAGGAAGAAAATAAAGAATTAAAGAATATTCAAAGGCCAACAACCAAAGAAAAGGAGAAGTTCCAGGAATTAAGCCTTGAGGGTATTTGATGAACCCAAGACTCTTGAACTTCGATTTTTCATAGGCCGACAGGATGCAGGGGATGAAAGCAAGGCGCAGGGCCCTGCCCAAGCAAAATTGGAACTCTAATTAGAGAGTCTCTGATATAAACCTAGGATTCCCAAAGGACTTCACTCACAAAATAAGAGACAACTAGAAACAACCCCTAGCATAGACTTGTAGTGAATCATTAGTGGATCGTGAAATGAATTATTTGGTCACCATTAGCACTGGTTGTTTTAAACACTGAATATAGAAATCCTTCAATTAACTTTTGTTTCATTTTTTTTGTGTTAGGGTGTATTTATCCATGAATGTGTGTGTGAGTGCACTTGGTTGCATTATTTTTTACTGTTCTCAGTTGTTAAGAAAACTTAAAAGCTGCTACCCTAAAGAAAACCTAGTACATGTGCAACTGCTTATTTCAACACTGTTTATAATAGAGACATGTACAACTGCTTATTTCAACACTGTTTATAATAGCGAACTACTGGAAGCAACCTATGTTTCTGTCAATAGTACGATAAATAAATAAATGTAATTTTCATACAGTAGAACATTATCAATTAGATAAAATGAGCAAATTACACCTGTTATATTAGCATAGATAAATCACAAAATATTGGGTGGCAGGAAAAAATTGCAGGTATAGGTATAATTGAGTTTATTTTTTTCAGAATACATATCACAATATGTTGTTTGGGAATGATGGAGACCAACTTTAGTGCAGTTGCTTCAGAGGACAAAAAAATTGAATGAGATTGAGAAAGTGTTGCAAAAATTGATACAAGCTCTCCAGCTGTGTGCGTGTGTGTGCACAGGCATGCGAGTGAGCTTTTTCCTTAAATGAATTGAAAGTGAGCATGACAAAATGTTAATATATGGATGATAGGTATTTAGGTATTGGTTATATTATTTTCCATACTTTTATAGTGTTTGTAATATTTGACTTTCTAAAACATATATGTAAGTGGATAACTGTTGTAGTTTTCTTATAGGGTAGAGTCTTTAGGGAAATGATGCAAGAATTAAACGTTTAGGTATTATTTAGTAAAGCGCATTCGGTTATATTAATGCTTGTGTATTATTATGCCAACTTTAATTAGATGAAAGGTATATAATTCCATGAGTACGTTAGTCAGACTGGGAAAGAAAAGGTATGGCAAAGGAATACAATATAAAATCCCAAGTATGATGGTATTTTTGTATTTACTTAGTTTAGTTAAAGATATTACTGTATTTTTAGAAAGGGAAATAGAATAACTCAATACTTTGAAATCCATAAGAAGTGGTCCCCAAAAATGCTTATTGAATAAGGAGTTCTGATGAAGAAAGGAAAAAGTTCTTTCTCAGTATTGCATTCATGGAAAAGTATAGGAAAAATAACCAAACTACTACCAACTGAATAAAAGTTAAACCTTTCTACACTATATTATTGAAATTGTAACTTATTGGTTACCGTGAGGCAGCAAACCATACAAAAATTCATAATGTATCCTTAGTTTTATCATTCACATTTTTTTTGTTTGTTTCACTTAGCTGGTCACCTGACTTTTGAATGCCGCAATTTTCTCCGAGTAGACCCTAAAAGGGACATAGTTTTGGATGTCAGCAGTACAAGTAGTGAAGATAGTGATGAAGAGAATGAAGAACTGAATAAATTGCAGGCATTACAGGAAAAAAGTAAGCAATATTTTTTTTCCATACTTTAGAAATGTTTGTAAATGTCATATCATGCTTTCCATTACACTTACTGAGATCTCTTTTGTAGTTTATGTAAGAGCTACTGCATAGGAAACAGGTTTTAAATACTGTAAGTTTCTTGCCTAAAATTGAACAGTTAAGCAAGTACAGATCCAGGAGGCAAGTCTATTTCTGACACACAGCTTATGTTTTTTGTTGTTGTTTTTTCCCCATCACATTAGGATATGTGTCAAATGGCTGAAAAAGTATGATTTAAGATTTGGTTTCTAGTCCTATTTGGCAATTTGTTTTAGCACGTGACTTTCACCAAGTCACTTAACCATCCTGAGGCTCGGCTGCCTTGTGGGATAACACAAAATATTGGATTGTCAAATGATGCTCAGGCAGATCAGCGATGTTAGCCAGTATCAAGCTTCACTAATAATTTCAAGTATACAAGTGATCATGAGGCATAGGCAAAGCAGAGAGTTCTGGGCACACCAGTACAGCTCCCCAGGTGTTTCCTTTCTACTTCAGAACCCACTCTGATCAATGTTAACAAGAAGTTTCTTTATTACTTCTACCAAAGAAAGTTGATTTGGTCATGAAACATACTTATTTTATGCTTGGGTAGTTACATTTTCCAGGGAACTACACCCCATAAATCCATAGATTCCAGGTTTGTTTACTATCAGCAATCTCAGTTACATCCCACTAAAAGGATGTAAATAATAATTATATAAATAAGGATTCTGTGGCTAACAGATATCACTTATTTTTTTTCCAGGAGATCTGTTGTTAGTGTGTTTCAGAGAGATTTCTCCAGGTCACTCTCTGTCTCTCCTGGGTATATCCTCCTCTCTCCCTAGAGAGAGAATGAATTGCAGACCTATTATTTAATCCTTTCTTTCCCATGTTATGTATAAAATAGCTCATCCGTGCAGTGGGGTTTTTAGGAATAAAATGTGATGCCATAAATTAAACTACTTTGTAAACTACAAAATGCAATATGGTAAATATCACTCTGAAATAAAATATAACTTATTTTAATCTTAGACAAGGAATGAGAGTTATAAATTTTAAATTCATTTTAGTTTAGATTAGCAATGAACATTAAACAATAAACTTTGTTTTTAATATCAAGCTTTCCATATTATGTCCAGTTAAGTGAAGAAGTCAAATGTAAGGTGCTAGAACAAGCTGAAAACAAAAAAGAGGCAGAGAATCCCAAAGAGGGCAAACAAGAATCATATTATATATGAGTATATACAGCTTCAGGGTAAAGATAGTTGATTGAATACACACAGTTTTGTTCTCTACTGAAATACCACTAAAATGACAGATGTAGAAAAAAATTTAAAGACATAAACTCACAAGGGCAAAGAAAATGAGTTAGGAGGGAATAGCAGTAAAATTTTGGAAACTGAAAAGCAGATGGGTGATAACTGATTACACTCTTGAAAAAGTCAAATTCTTTAGCAGTGTGGAAAGCTGTGAAGTAACCCGATATATATTCTAAAATCCCCTAAAGACATGATAATTAGTATCCTTGGGTGCCTCTGGCTGAATATAAGGCTAAAAACAGGAGGATTGGTTTCAAGTCTGCAGGAGTTAAACCCTCAGTCCCCTTCCCCTATGAAGTCAGATGACTTCATCACCCCAGCAGACTACTGGAGGTTTATTTTCTAGACAGGGTAAAACATAAGTTCTTTAGACTGGGACACACTAACATAGCTGAAAACAGGGAGGAAGTTAAAGACTGAGAACTTTCCAGCCCTCTTCACCTATTTGATTCCCAGACATATATCACAATTAGTCTAGGAAATACTTCACTCAAATGAGTCCCAGAAAGAAAATGTCTAAGAACTGAATGATACTAGTTTTACAATTGAAAAGGTTCCACAAGTACCAAATACAGAGCTAAAAATAGACCCACACAAAGGCACACCATTATAAAACTTCATATCACAGGGAACAAGGAAAATATAATCCAGGCTTCCAGGATCAGGGATTAAACAAGTCATCAGTCAAAGATCAGGAGTCAGAATAACTTTCCACTTCTTTGAAGCAGTCCTGAAAGCTAATAGATGTGGGGAATGCCTTCACATTTTGGAAGGGAAATTATATCCAAGTCAGAATAATATTCTCAACCAAATTATTGCCAAGTTTGAAAACAGAATAAAGTTGTTTTCAGATATCCTCATTTTAGGTTGATTTTTATATATGGCATGAGGTGAGGGTACAGTTTTTTTATTTTGTGTGTGCATATACACTTGACCCAAGACCATTTGCTAAAGACATCATTTTCCCATTGTGTGTTCTTAACACCCCTCTTGGTCAGTTCATCATATATGCATGCGCTTATTCCTGGACTTCCTCTTCTGTTCCATTGGTCTATGTGTCTGTCTTTATGTCAGTACAATACTATTTTAATTACTATAGCTGTGTAATATATTTTGAAATCAAGGAGTGTGATGCTTACAGCTTTGTTCTTCTTAAGATTGCTTTGGCTATATGGGGTCTTTTGTGATTCCATATACAGTTTTGGATTATGTTTTATATTTCTGTCAAAAGAGCCATTGGGATTTTGGTAGGAATTCCATTGAATCCATAGATTGCTTTAGATAATGCAGGCATTTTAACAATATTTTTTCAGTCCATGAACACAGATATTGTCAAATGCTCTTTCTGCATCTACTGAAATATTCATTTGATTTTTAGCCTTCCTTTTCTTAATGTGGTGTATCACATTTCTTGATTTGCATATATTGAGCCATCCTTGTATCCCATGGATGAATCCCAATTGATCACAGTGGATGATCCTTTTAATGTGCTGCTGAGTTTGGTTTGCTAGAATTTTGCTGAAGATTGTTGCATATATGTTCATCAGCTGTATTGGTCTGTAATTTTATTTTCTTAAGGTACCTTTGTCTGGCTTTGGTATCAGGGTGATGCCAGCCTTGTAAAATAAGTCTGGAAGTGATCTCTTCTCTCCAGTTCTTTAGAAGTGCTTTAGAGGAATTGGCTTAATTGCTCTTTAAATGTTTGGTAGGCTTCACCAGCAAAGCCATCTAGTCCTGGGCTTTTCTCTGTTGGGAAGATTACTGACCCAATCTCCTTACTTGTTACTGGTCTGTTCCTATTTTTGATTTCTTCATGATTCACTCCTGATACATTTTATGTTTCAAGGAATGTATTCTTGTAAGTTATCCAATTTATTGGCATATAAATGTTCCTTGTATTCTCTTATATCGTTATATATTTATATAACACCCCTTTATATTTCTGTGACATCACTTATACTCTTTTTTCAGTTCTAATTTTGACCCTCTTTTTTTTTTTTCAGTTAGTCTAGTTAAAGATATGTCAATTTTATCTTTTTATTAAAAAACTCTTAGTTTCTTTGAGCTTTTCTGTTGTTTTTCAAGTCTCTATTTCATTTATTGTGGGTTTTTTGGTTGTTGTTCTAGTTTCTTAAAGGTATAATGTTTGGTTGTGTTTTTTCGAGATCCTTCTTTTTTTTTTTTTTTTTTTTTGACAGTATGAACCACCTCACTTGGCCCTCTTCTTTCTTAATAAAGTCGTTTATCATATAAATTTCCCTTTTAGTACTGCTTTTGCTGAATCCCATAAATTGTGGTGTGTTGTAATTTCATTTATCTCAAGATTGTTTAATTTCTCTTTTGATTTCTTCTTTGACCCAATGGTTGGTCAGGTGTGTGTGGTTTAATTTCTACATTTTTGTGAATTTTACAGTTTTTCTTTCATTACTGATTTACATTTTCATATCATTGTGGTCAGAAAAGATACTCAATATCATTCCAGTCTTCTTAAATTTGTGAAGACTTATTTTGTCGCCTAACATGCTCTGTTCTGGAGAATGTTCTGTGTGCTTGAAAAGAATGTATTCTGCTGATGTTGGATAGCATATTCTGTATATTTTGTTTTCATTAGAACCAGTTTCTCTATAAAACCTAGAAATTAAACTCCTTATCCATCATTGCTAAGTGGAAGAGGAAATTATTGCCATAGCTACTGTTTTATTTCCTTAGTTCCTCATAACTTTTTTGGGACATGTTTGCAGTAGTTAGTCTGAAATTATCATAACTCAAAAAAAAAAAAAAAAAAAGAGAGCGACAGCTACTAAAAGGATAGCTAAAGTGACAATTTTAATGTCAGACCAAGTAGATTTCAAAGCAAAGGATACCGACAATAAAGAGGTTTTTTCCTAATTATAAAAGGGTCATTTGGTCAAGAGAACATAAAAACTCTAAGTGTTGGCCTGGCATGGTGGCTCATGCCTGTAATCCCAGCACTTTGGGAGGCCGAGGTGGGCAGATCACCTGAGGTCAAGAGTTCGAGACCAGCCTGGTCAACATGGCGAAACCCCGTCTCTACTAAAAATACAAAAAATTAGCCGGGCATGGTGGCATGTGCCTGTAATCCCAGCTACTTAGGAGGCTCACGCAGGAGAATCACTTGAGCCGGGGAGGCAGAGGTTGCAGTGAGCCAAGGTCATGCCACTGCATTCCAGTCTGAGCAACAGAGTGAGATTCCATCTCAAAAAATATATATATATGTATATTTTTATATATATATATATATATTCATGCCCAGTGGCTTCTCTTACAAGAAAACATTTAAAGGAGAAATAAATATATATATATATATTCTAACTGTTTATGCACCTAATAAATATCTGAAACAAATCCTGGTATAACCGTAAATAAAAATTCTTATGGATAGACAAATTTGCAATTATAGCCATAGATCTCAACACCTTTCTCATTGACTAATGGCACAAGTAGACAGTAAATCTGTGAGGACATGGAAGACTTAAGTAACACTATCGACCAACTTGACCCATTTAACATTTATGCAACACCTTACCCAACAACAGCAAAATACACCTTTTTGTTGTTGTTTTTGTTTGTTTTCTTTTGTTTTTAAGTGCACCTATCAAGATAGATCTGATACTGGGCCATAGCAGAAAGCTACTT